TAATTCGAGATCTTCTGCCTGCACGCCGTGACCTAGCGGCAGACGACCTGGGGCCTCTCATGGCCCTGCCGCGGAGCGAGGCGCTCCGCGGCCGGCCGAAGAAGGCAACTTAGCAGATCCGCTAGTACCAGATTTGCCAGATGGAGAAGGGAGAAAGAACGGGTGTACACCTCCCGGAGATGCCGCTGTCAGAGATGAGAGGCTTTCGTCCTGGGACACAGCTGTCGTAGTATCACCTTCCATCTGAGTTGTGTCCACCTGGACCTGAGACGTGTTCCAAGAGCGCTGCTTCGGCTGCTGAAAGTGACCAGACGTGCTGGTACGAGTTGACTTAGTGGGCGGCTTAAGACCAGTCTTAGACCTATCAACTCTCCTCTTAGTCGTGGAAGTATCCTTGCTTTTCCTCCTTTTTGGTGGTGTAGTGAAATCACACCGATCTGGAGATACCTCATTGTTTTGAGCAGGTGGTTGCGAATCGATGGCCAAATGGTGGGCTGTCTGACGTTGAAGGGCGTCAAGTTGGGTTTGAAGAGCCGCAGTCGCGGCTTTCTGCTGAGCCAGGGCCTGGTCTTTAGCCGCCAAGGCGTTGTCACGGGCTTCGATTTCCACAAAGGCATCCTCCAGTTGTTGTTCACCTTCGTGCATTTCATCCAGCATCCCCGTGACCGTTTGTCAATTGTCAATATCCTTGGCGTTTGCCATATCCATATCAATCAAGAGTTGACCTTGGTAGACATCGGTGGTGTCTTTGATCACATCGTCCAAAAACTCCAGAGCTTCCTCCACCTTGGTCAACTGATCAGAGGCCTCAATAGCGCGTAGTGTGTTGGTGCACCATACCAAACACTTACGACACGTCGCCTGGATCTCAGATTTGGGAATCCATTTACCCAAGACTCGATCAGCTTGCATATTGGTAAGTTTGCACAGGTGATGAAATAAGAACGGAACTATCCCTCTCAACACGTTTTGAGCTAACTGACCGTACTTCTTGCGGCATACAAAGATGTAAGAGCCTTCCATTTCACCAGGAAGGATCATCAGGAAGAGTGGTCCCGCCTTATGGCGATCAATATCGTTCTTCAGTTTGCGGTCGGTAGCTTCAGCCAGCTTGCGTTGTGCCAGGGATAGATCTTTGAGAAAATGATTCTCTAGGTTATCGGAAATGAGCGACTTCTTCTTCTTCACCTTCTTCTTTGTCACCTTCGTGAATGGTCCGGACAGGGAACCCGCTCCCTCCTGGGATTCATCGTCCTCCTCTTCAGATGAGTTGTCGTCGGCAGGTGTTAGGGGTCTGTCTTTGGCAGCTGTGGAGGCCTGATCAGCCTGGGCCGGAGTGGCCTTGATGGACAAGAGCAGTTTGAACAGGGTGCAAGAACCGTACAACCTTGTAGTCGCAAACTTGAACATCCCCATGAAGTCAATGCCTGGATAAAGAACCTCCGTCAAAATGTAGTAATCCCGGGGTTTGTCCCTGACAACCACCAGATGTCTCCAATGGTTCAAACTAGTTGTTGACTCGTCGCTTCACGGTACTTGACCTTTACAGCCGCTTACTCCACCGGCAATCGTATGCGCTAGATAGCATTTAATCGATTAATGTTTCATTTATTATTATAAGAATCTGGACAGAATAAGTCGGCCATATTACAGCCAAACCAATCCCTATCAGTATCTGGACGTTTGTAAACCTCGTATAGTCCGTCAGTTGGTGCAACGTAGTCAAACGATTCAAAGAAATCAAGAGCCTGGTCCAATAGGGATTCATCCTTGAGAGTAGTGACAGTCTTATACTCTTAAGGATACCGACTCGATCAAACGGTCTCTCGCCTTCTTCAGATCCATCATCAGGGATGGATTCGGCCCATTTCTCAAAGTCTTCCAGCTTGGAATCCAGTACACTAGGATCCCAGTCCTTGTCAGAAGTTAAGACAATGTGTGGTAGTGTATCAAGTTCACGTTTTGTCGGTGGTCTCATACGGACGTATGGAAGTCCATTGACAATCTCCATAGGAATGACCCAACCATCTGGGGTAGAGAGTCGCTGTTTGCCTCCTACCTTGGATGATCGGTCGTCTACCTCAACGCCAAAATGCTCCATCTGTGGGCTGGAGAGGATGGACTGCCCTTTACCGATAGATGCAAACTGGTTCATGATCAAAATAGCAGGACCGCGCTGTGTGTCAGTGTATCCAGCTGAAGTTACAATGGACACATCCGTCACTTGATGGTTATCTATGCCTTGGACATCAACAGAACGGTTTGTCTTTGACAGGATGATGACATCATCACCAGCAATTCCACCATTGGCTCCTTGATCACAGAGACCTAGTTGTTTCTTACGAGTGTTGATATGATTAGTAACAGAGTAACGGATAGTAGCTGTATTGACAGATCGATACGTTTTACCATCTATCACGATCTCGTGTTGCTTGGCTTCCTGCTTGCCTTTGGGTTTGGAGGGCACATCGGCAAGCTTATCTGACATCAAACGCTTTATGTCTCCAGGTTTGAGACATAGGGAGGTTGTCATCCTCAAAGCCGGAATGAACATCAGTAAAGTAGATATCTCGACTAGGGTTATTTTTAGGCTTAGTCCTCTTGGAGTCTTGGCGAGTGTCGTAACTTTGGGCTGCAGATTCCACCAGGGTGACATAGTCATCAAAAATGATTGCCTTACCCGTTTGCATCTCAAGAATCCTAGAGAGTCTCTGAATCTCATCAAGATAAGGGACAGCAATAAGGGCTTGTTCGAGTAGCATGTGTTGCTAGGTTTCTGGCATCCTTTGACTAATGTCTGCCAAGGTGTGGTATTTGCGTACTTGTTCTTGCCAATGGATGATGAATGATTCATGTGTGTTGCGCCATGAATCATCAAGCCTAGCGGTCATAATCCATTGTAGAAGTCCAGTAGCGGTGGCATCAGCTTTAACAGACTTAGTGTAGGCTTTAGCAAGTTGATTGTAAATTTTCTGCGCATCGAAGGTTGCTTGATGCTCACGAACAAATTGCTTGCCTTTATCGGTGAGGAGAGTCGTGGTAAAGACTTGATACATGAACGCCTGCTGACGGTCAAAGAGGTCCTTTTCATCAACAGTTTGTGGGCGGTACTTGTGATTAAGGACATTTTGTAGACCGTAAGTGCGACAGATGGCTGCGAGGTTACGATTGTAGTTTTCCCATTGCTTATCATTGCTAAAAGTAGGGAAAGACGACGGGTCTCGTCTGATGCTTCTATCGAATTCATCAGCAGGGGTACGACGACTGGGTTTCTGGATAATAGGTTGTGGAATAGTTCTATTACCAAAAGTTAAGAACTCTCCAGAAGCCCTATAGTCAAGTACACTTCCATAGTCAATATCCATGCAGTTGTCAGGGTTGACAGGATCATTATGGACATGTTTGCGGTAGTAAACGTATCCTTGGATGACCTTGATGAGACTGCGAATGGACAGTGGTACCAGGGCAAGTTGATCATCTTGGAAATCGCCTTCATCATCAGGTGTTTGACTTCTTGGATAAACAAGAGAGTCAATCGCCACATCGGTCATAGCCATGAGGTCAATGAAGCAAGTAATTTTTGCATGCTTCAATGCTTGAGCAAGAATACCATCTGGAGGGAGATCGAGAACCTCAACCAGGATGTGTTCCAGACTCTCTGGACAATGACCAGGAGGACGGTGGCGGGTTGTTGATGGTTGCATGGGTGAATTAAACCCCAAACCTAAGGACGCATGAGATGATCGAGAGGATACAGATCCTCCTCTTGACAAGGTTGGACGCTGCTCGCGAGTTTGTTCCCGACGTTGGGCTCGTAGATCACATTCAGTGCTCATTGTAGGACAATAAAGAGCAGTAGTAGAGCTTGACTTCAAAAAAATAATCTAAAACTATAATAAGTCAGAGGCGACCTTTGCTATAGATCGATTAACCTTCCTATCCTGTGAGAAGCTGAGCACAGGAACATTCCTTGGTCACCGGCCAAGCTGATAGGTAGGAAGGGACACAGCACGGAGGACCGGCAACTTGACTTGCCCGGAGTAGCGAGTTAGAACCCCTGGTGAATGCAAGCAAACAAGTCTACTACAGGTAGGATGACCCTGCGAACTCTAATTTGTGTACGCCCTGAGTCTGAGGACGGTCCTAACGTTGGACTGGAACTGATGCAATCCCAAAGTAGAAAAAGGGAAAAGCAGACGCGCCTGAATCAATTGCTTGCACAACAAAAGTTTGTTCCTGGGGCGTCTGGTGTAGGTCCGGCGTTTTACTTCGCGAGGGAAGGTGAACCTTTCAAGCGGGACTTCCACCACAGAAGCTGTTCAACCAGTTGAAAGATTCGGATCCCTTGGTTCCGAAGAAAACTCCTTGACGACGAAAGGAGGTGAACCGGGGGCAGCACGAGTTGGCGACACTCAACGCTGTATTGATAGCGATCGATAAATAAATAAAACTCCAATATCTTACGACTATCGCGATAGGGCCGCTACTAGCCGAGCACTCCAAATTGTGTCGTCCCGAACCTTGAAAAATAACTCGGGCGCCAGTAGAAACCGAGTTCTTCGTTCGAATTAAATCGTATGAGTACTATGCCTCAGAAATTAATTCAAATCGAACGGTGGGATGGGCTTGATGGGAGCCCAAAACAGGGAACTTGCGAAACGCTGAAAGTCGATCCGCGAGTTGTTGTGTTGTTCGTCTTTGGTGGGAAGACGAATTCCAAAATGTTGATTGTCCTCGTCTCTGATGGAAGACAAGCCAGGTAAAATTTCTGGAGGACAATCGCTGCAGTCGGATATGTGCACGACTGCGAGGATGTGAGCTTGATGAGAGCTCAGTAGCTTGCGAGAGCGCTGTGGATCCGATCCGCAAGTTTGTTGTGTTTTCGTCTTCTGATGGTAGACAAATTGAGCGATCTCTGATGGGCAGATCGATGCAGTTAGCTGTAGGCGTAACTGCGACTGTTAATCTGACAGAAATAAATGAAAGTAGATGAATAGACTTGAAGCCTATAGTGCGACTGCTTTTTCACAAGAAGATAAAGATCAATTCAGGTAAAACAACGTGCAGTGAGAAAAGGGCTCATATTTCATAAATGGGGTTGGGTATTTTTGAAAACCGCTGTATTTTTCGTACCACCTCTACGTGTTGTCAGCTTTCCTTTTATGAAACATCGTGAGATATGAATATGACGCGGGAACGCACCACAACGTGCAACGCACGCAATTTAAATGTCCGTTAATAGTTAAAAATGGTTTTATTGGAAAACGTTAAGTGTCCGTTTCCATTTTAGCGCGGGCGCACTGTGGAAATCGGGCATGCCCCGTGCGTCAATTTGACGCAAAAACGGGCACGCCCCGCGTCAAATTAACGCAAATCTGCGTCAAATTAACGCAAATCTGCGTCAAATTGACGCAAATGTTTGCGTCAAATTGACGCGCGACGCACGAAACTGCGTCAAATGGACGCAAGTTGCGTCAATCCCGCGTCAAACTCAAGAAATTGCATCAATCCCGCGTCAAACAGATGCAGTTGCGTCAATCCCGCGTCAAACTCAAGGGAGGCCAGAAACACAATGTTATAAGAGCACAGTTCAGGTTCTGACATCAGCTACTTCATCATGCTATGGGCTATAGTTCTGGATTCGTTTATCAGGAGTACTTGGCTTAATATCCCAAAAATACACAGTTCCAAGCTCTAAACCAATTTGGATTGATTCCAGGACAGCAACTACTAGTACCGCAAGTGTATGCTTATCATAGTTATGGATCCAAATACCTTGCAATGATTGGAACTTTTTCATCTTGCAAAAGACACATACTACCCCGTTTTTTGGTGTTCAACAAGAATGCTGGATGCAATAAGTCCCTAAACAATTGAGACAAGGAGAGCAGAAAGATCCTGAAAGGAATAGGAGACATTGCCAGATCCCTGGCCAAGTATGCCTATGGAAGAAAGGTCAGTTCCAACATTGCCAAATCCATTCTCAAATATTTTTCTACAAGATTTTTGAGCAGTACTATATCTGGGGGATTCCGTTGATGAGCAAGACAGGGATATCTGTTGGTGAATTTCATCAAGGGCTTCAAACTCCTCATTGATAAGGTTGTTGCTTCTTGCTTGGAAAATAGCATCATTGCCATTATGTGCCCCAGCTTTGTCAATTTCCATCAGATCCATTGTTCAAAAAATGGGCAACTCTCATTGGAATGAGAGTGGGAACTCAAACTCTCATTCATTCACACACACTCCAATCTTTTTGGAAATGATACCAGTACGCGGGTTTCGTCCCGCGTCCAAGACATGCAGGCCCGCGTTAAATTGACGCAACCCGCGTCAGCTGACGCGGAATCGGCGTTAAACTGACGCAACTATGCGTCAAACTGACGCAACTCCGCGTCAAACTAACGCAACTCCGCGTCAAACCAACGCAACTCCGCGTCAAACTAACGCAACTCGCGTCATTCCCGCGTCAAAAGTAACGTCCCGCGTCAAAGTCGCAGAGCATTTTAACGGACGCATAAAAATTATTTAGAGCTAAAAAATCTTCAAATCAATCTAGACGGACAGATTTCGGGCGTGCGTTTGACGTTGTGGTGCGTCCCGGGGCAGACCATGAGTTTTTGAAAATCAAAAATAAAGCACTTCTAACCCGGATATGTCGCTCGCTCTTTTGTCGTGAGCTGCACTGGTCTGAAGTATTTTGTAGTATGTGTCATTGTTTTGCATCGACATCACATCAACTTCAAGCTTGCAGACAAAAGCCAAGGAACCGCAAAACAAACAAGCAGCACCACAAGAGTTGCGACCTAGTGAGATAAAAATGACGACATGACAGGCGCCTGAAGCGAGAACGGCAGACTCCAGTGCAACAAGCGGCACAACAAGCGGAGAATGAATCATCAGCTTCACGCGAGCTGCGACAATACGCCAGCATTGTGGATTCGGAGTCAGGCTTTTTGTTATGAGAGACATGCAATCGATCGAGAGGTCCTACGGATCGATAGAAGTGCAACCACCCCCCAACTTCGCGCTTGTTGGAAAGTGGTTTTAACAACTTGATTGCATCATCTTGTGATTGAATCGACATCATCCTGGAAAGGTCAAACAAGGCATGAGAGAGCAGTCAAATCTACCAGTTGAGATTATCGCTGCGATTCTAGTGAAGTATACACTTCTGTGAGGCTTGCGACAACGAGCCTGTGCAATTTGCTGATTATCTGGACCTGAAAAATCAATCGGCTTGTTGTTTGGGTAGAAACGTAAAGGGCGAACGCAAGGCTCAATTTCATCGCAAATATACTACATGTGTATGCAAAGATCGAAGACACAATAATCAACATTTGTTGGGAAAGATTCAAAAACGACAACAAACGCAGAATCCTGACTGGGCTCCGTTGTGGCCAATTTTTTTCCCTCCAGGCCAGTGTTTTGAACGAAGCTGTCTACTATCGTACAGAAAGACGCTTGCAGAGTTCTTTGTGAAAAAAATTCTGACGAGAGAATAGAATAGAACAAATGAGGGCTTGATTCTGCCAATGCGGAGACAGTGACTTGACTTGAACAATGACAAGACGACACTCAAACTGGATACTACTGTTGAAGACAAAAATTATAGTCAATAGAGAATCAAGCTAGAAGCTTGAACAATACGTTCTACTATTATACATCTCCATCACCATGTAACGCTAGTCATTCCGGTTTGCCAATATACTGTCACATTCTCTAGGAAGGCCAGAACTTGTTCAACTGGAGCTGAGGTGGTTTGGTTAGGTTGCGTCCATTCTGGAAAAGCAGGTTTGCGTATCAGATTGCAAGTGGCTGGTATAGAATGTTTTTAGTTTGCTTATTCTTTATATTTGATGATCCAGGACCATCCAATCTACCGGTAGAACTGGATCTTCCTGATTATTATTTTAAGCACTGGTGTTTCGCGAGTCTCTCATATCCCCTGAAACTCTCCCCTCATATATTTTGATTTGCTTTTTGAAAGAAAATAGCCCGGATTTGGTTCCAGCTGACGACATGTACACGTACGTAGAAGCTGGTAGTCGTGAGCTGATTTGCAAACCCCATTTATCCGATATGTGCCGAGAAAGGCGATCGTTGATCACTTTTCCACGCGAATCTCTAGAATTATCGCAGAACGCTGATGACTCGGCATTCTCTTTACTAAATCACTGGCGTGTAGCGGTTCATGCACGTGCAACGCGTGCAAGGCACAGGCTACACTTCAACCTGGTAATCCTATAGGTCGAGTCACGAGTCCCGTTCCTATTAGAATTCTGTCAGAGATAGCGCTGGCGAACCACCACGAAGTAGCAACCATCTTCCTCGGCCGGTAGGATCATGATAAACAGAGGGCTGGGTCTGTCGTTGGTGAGGTCCATCTGGGCAAGCTGGTCGATCCAGGCATCGTTGTCCTCGGGCGACGTGGGTGCCGTGAGGAGGGACTTTTTCTTGTCCTCCACAGGTTTTGGAGTGGAAACAACCAAAGACTTTTTGATGATGGTGGTCCACTCGAAGGTCGGGGGACTGTCATCATCATTGTCGTCACCGGACGACTCGCTATCACTCAGCACGTCAAGGGTCTTGGTCAGTGGCTTTGTGGGTTCTGCATCCTCCGCCTTCTTGGCCTGGGCGTCCGTGACGATGACGGCAAGGAGGAATCATAGGAGGGTGAGCCTTCCAAAGTTCTCAGTTGCAGCCGAAGTCAGCATGCCCGGGAGTTCGATGGGAATCCGGTAGATTGCAGTCAGAACCCGCGTCGCCCGAGTCCTTTCCCGCATGGCTTTGATCAAGGACTGAAGCTGTGGGCACTGTTTGCCAAGGACCAATTCATCTTTCGCCGCCTGTCAATCTCTGGTGTAATGGGTCGGCGCTTGGAAGGGAGCACAACTGGGCTTGCGTAGGTCCAAGTTCGCCGCCAAGATCAGGTCGGCCTCGCTAGCGAAGGCTTTTGGAACAAAGACGTGCCAGCACAGGAGTCCTCAAGAAGACCCAGTGAATTTGGCAGAGAAGAACCGTGGATTGTTGACCCATTCTTGCATGAGGCCAATGGGATACTGGAAGTCGCAGAGATGCATCAAGTCTTTGCAGTACGGGCCAATCGTCAATTCTTGTGGTAGCAACGGGAGGAAGCCAAGACGGACCATGTCGGAAACCTGGATTGGAGCCGGGAAGACGCCCGCCCAAGGCTCACTGGACAAGACGGAGCAAAATTCTTGCATGAGAATGGGAGGGGCGGTGTCCATCCCGAACCGCATGCGAGTCTTGTAGGTCTTGGACCCAGTCTTCCCAGGTTTGTTGAGGATGTTTGGATTGCCGAAGTTGGGATCGAGGTAGATTTTCAGGTGGGCCCAATCCTTGGCTTTTTCATCAAACTCCTTCAAGTTCCGGATCCACAGTTGTTGTCAAGTGAATCAGCCATCAGCAAAAGGTAGAAGGACGACTGTGGAAGTGATCTCGCCCCAGATACCGGAAGCAAACTGATGGAAGGCGTTGTAGGCAGTCTGGACTTGATTGAACTCGGACGAACCGACGCCCTGTCAATCAAAGACAACGGACACATTGAAGATGGTAATGTGACAAAAGGGAGATGCATTCCAATGGACAGCGAGAAGGCGCATTAATCGTTCGTCGGTTGTGAGAGGAACCGTGGGAGCGGGGAGAGCGGCAACAGTGTCCCTGTAGGTCGGGGCACTATTGTGTTCCTCTGCTCCGTGTTCCGCACTGGTCCTCCCACGGTGGGTGTTGGCTACCATAGAAAAAATTATTTCAGAAACGAAACAACACGCATTCCGGCAGAACCAACCAGTCTGTCTCGCGTAGCGCTAGTACTGAATTTACGTAGAAAACTTTCGAATTTATCACCAAGCCAACCATTCGACACCGGCGCACCATGGGCAAATCTATCAACGCGAAGGCATCCTCGGCGATGACAAAAAAG